AAAGAAGAAGTTTAAACCTATATCTTCCACCTTTAAATGAAAGAAAGCTCTACCTTTTCCAGATCATATCCACAGAGCCCTGCAAATTCAGCATTCTCTCTACATCATATATCCCTCATCACAAAGCAAATTAATATAATAGTGAACCTCGGAAAGAGAAGGAGTAAGTACAAATTTAACAGATATTTATTGTAACCAGAATCAAGTCACTTCAGGGGAAAAGCAAAAAGAACAATAGCATTGTACTCATGCTATAAACAAGAGGTAGGTTTAAGTTGAGAATGAAAACAAGAGAGAGATTGCCTTCCAAATATTAAACCATGAAATTAGATCTCACTCTTGTAAGCATCACTTCACAGCCTTCAGATCAATTTTAGTCTTTATTACTTATTCAAAGCGGCATGAAGTTATCAATAGAGGATAGTTGATGGAACCTCATATTCTTGTGTTGGATTCAAACAGGTGTTTTACACTGAGTTTCTGCCATGAGAATAGTTAAGATATTCAGTGGGACAATGGGAGTTTTGACAAAACTTTATGTCTAGAGATCAATCAATTTTTAGAGAAAGAAAACCACCGTCACCTATAGCCAGCCTTTAATACAATAGACAATTGAGAAAAAAAAATTTGAGCTGTGTAGAGCAGCATCTAGAATACAAGATCATGTGATTAATATATGTCAAAAAATCAAAAGGAGTATGATTGAACTGAAACACAACTCACCAAGAACTTGATGGATCATTTGCATGTCAAGTTGAAACCCATCTCCAAGCATTTTGAAAAGAAAGTCTTCAATGTCTGCATGCAAGCTATCATCCTTCCCAGTATTATTACATGAGGCAGAAACAGATTCATTTGAGTGCACTTCAGATGATCGAATTCTTATAGATTCATTTGAGTGAACTTCAGATGATTGAAATTTTGTAGATTCATTTGTTGCCATTATTGACTTCAGACATTCTCCTCCAGAATTTCCAGAAACATAGTTGTTTGCGGCACCTTTGCCATTTCCTTCATCGATAGATAGATACTTTGAGGTACCTTCAGCACATAAATCTAATGATGATATAGAAGTTGCATTTATGCCATCTTTGGATTTATGACTCGCTGCAGTAGTTCCCTGTAATTCGTAAAGAATGACACCAGCCAAGTCCACATTACTATTTGCTTGGGAGTAAGCAGAAGCTACAGTCTCCAGTGAAAAAGAGGAACCAAAAGCTTCAAGCAGCAGCTTCATATCCCTGTTACAATCTCTGGAAGATGAATTGCAAGAGCTGGCCGCCTCCATGTCTGGGGATGAATATAACACAGTGAAAAAGCATTCAAAAAGTAATATAAAAAAGGCATGATGCACTAATGGTCTTTTAGATTAAAGAAACCAAAGCCAGAAGAAAGCTCATGCAATATCAATGCAGAAATATAACCAGATATTGTTAAAGCGTCATTGTCTAAATCTAATAGTGGAATTAACTAAGGGTGAGGAGGGTTTAAGTTGTAACACAATATAACATGCACACAGGTAACAAATTTTAGCAGGTGTATCGAGTACCTACCACTTCCCTTTCTTGCATGGAGATATGTAAAAGAATCTCATTTGGATGGCATGACATCAGGGTTGCCCGGCTGCCTCACCTCTCCGTAAGGGTGAACTAAAAATAAAGGGGGGGGGGGGGGTTTAAATTTGAATCTAGCTTCCTCTTGTAAAATTTAGAGGAAAATAACATTGAGACTTGAGCTAGCCATATGAGTAAGGAAAATGCAGAATATAATAGTTAATCACATTTCCACAAGCATTAAACCTTCAAAAAAAAAAAAACACTAGAATTATCCCTCTGGTAGACACCTCTTTCTGACACAGTTGCAAGCCACTAGAATAACGAATTGAAGGTCTATCTTTTCTCCCTATCTCCCCAAAGTCAGACTAAACCAAATGTTAGCACGTGACAATTAAAGTAACTATGGAACTAAAAGAATGCATAGAGGTCATGACCATTTCAAGGGGAAAAAGCACAAGCAAACATGTTTTATAATTTTCATAAGCTTCAAGAGTTGTCAGAAATCAGAATAGAATTAAATTTCCAAAATATCACTTAGTAAACCCACAATACCAACATCAAGCTAATATGTGTTTTTTCATTGTTCTTCAATCTCCATGCACCATCAGAATATATAGCAACAAAAATTCATTAAATTTAAGATATCCTATGTATCATATCACACGAACTAATTCAAGCAAGGGAGAACAAATGTCAAAAATGGCAAATTTTACAGTAGGAGGTTTACATGGTGATGGAAGGCTTACGAAAGATCACCAAATACAGTCGTAAACCAGCAGCTACTCGTATCCTGGAGACCTGGAAGGTAAACATCAAGAAAAATACATTAAAATTGTCATGCCAATTAGATTTTCATAAAAGAGAAATAAAATTATCCCTAATTATTTCAAATACCACATAACATAACTAACCAAATATTCAATTTGACTCACTTCGTTTAACTATTATAATTAAAAAAAATTACCCTTTTTTTTTTTTTTTGAGACAAACTAGACAATATTATTAATCAAGGGACAATTTGTCCACGAGTACATAGGACAATACATCAAAAATTACAGTACTATAGATAATTATCTATGTTACTCAGACTGTTCATTACACCTCATGTATCCGTGGCGAACCCTCGACACTCGACATGGGTATAACACCCGGGCACTTCACTTTTAGTTCAAAACCACAAAATAGCCAAGGACGCTTATCAGATATGGGTATCCAATTCCAAGTAACATAGATGATAATACAATCTCTGAATATAAAAGAAACATCTAAGATTCTAACTCGGCTAACTTTTTGATATTCTCAATACAAATTGTGACCCCAAATGAAGTGTCAAGTGTCCATACCCATTCAGAGTGTCGAGGGTAATTCAGGTGAAATGAAAAGCTCGAGCACCATAGCTAATTAACAATTTTAATGACAAACTATTTCAATCATACATCTCACAAATTCTGAAGAAAAAAAATTAAAAAAAAAAAAAAAAAAAACACCCCAAAATTAAAAAATTTCAAAAACCAAAGACAAAATTCGTAATAAATAACAACAAATCAACGAATAATTCTCTCATAAACGCTAATTCTGCAATTTTTAGAGCATCAAACATCAAAAAAATTATTAAAAAAAAAATCAACTAAAGAAACAAGAATCAGCATTCAACAAAAAATGATTATCGACAACACAAAAGAGCAATGCAGATTAATTAAAGATTTAAAATTTAGCAGAAGAAGAAATTGAAGAGAACTTACAGAGAGAATATGGAGATTCTTCAATGGAGAAAGAGTGAAAGAGAGAGAGTGAAGAAGTAGAGAGAAGAAAATTGTTGATGAAGGAAATGAAAATGAAGGTTTTTGGTGACGTGCTTTTGGGGTACGTACGACTGTACGAGTACTACTTTTGGCGCTCCTCTTCTACTTTGGACTTGCAAGTGTGTGTAATGAAAGTTCGTAATCTATTTCATCAATATACTCGCAGAAGCTACGGCTAATCGTAACTTTTTTTATTGGCTACTAAAAATAACATACGATAATTTTTATTGAAGGACTTTTAATTGTAAATATTTTGGAGGATAAATTACATTGTCCTAAAATTCAATTGCTAATGAATGACGTCAAGAAGTTGTTGGCCTATTTTTAGGTTGTTTTTTTCCTGCCATGTGTATCGAGAAGTTAATCGTGCAGCAGATTATGTTGCAACTGTATTACAAACTGAGTAAACATTGATAGATGCTAGTTTTTCTTACTCCGTATTTTATTTCTTTAGATAAATTTGGGTACAGCTTTAAGAGAAGACTTGCTTAACTTCTGTATCTTTCCTTTCAAAATAATAATATAAAAAAATAAAATAAAAAACCCTATTTTATTAACATTTTATCTAGCAATTTTTCCGATTTCCACACACCTCGGCTAATGAGGGTTGGACAAGTGTTTGTCACAAGTTGATAGTTTTCCATCCGTGATTTTTTTTAACATACTATTTGTAACTTGATTTTTTTTTTCTTATTTAATTTAGTTCATGCTTGATCTAACTTAAATGTATAAGTTACATTGTGTTTTACATGAATTTACATTGTCTTTACATGAATTGCACTTCCTTTTTCACCTTCAATTTCTACATACAAAACCATCACCGTATACTATTGCCCTAAATTTCTTTTGCATACGCTAAGTTGTTAGTTTTTGAAGCCTAACAAACACAAAATTTCTACTCACACAAGTAGCATGATTTTTTAGTACAGAATGACGGGAAGAATTTACACAACCAGCATCACACTACAAATCTACAATGCATGCTCCATGAATAATTATAAAACCAGCACACAAGCAAAGGCCTACTCGATAATAGCACAAAGCAAGCCTAAAAACAATGGCTATAAAACCAATACACACCCTTTACTTGTGTTTCTTCTCTCTTTTACTCTCACCATGGATAACCCTTTCATTAGCTCACAGGGTATCTCTAGCTTCCTACATTCCCCGCCATGATCCAAATCAAGAAGGATGTTGTTCGATTGATGGTAACTGTGGACCTTGCTACGGTGCAAATGTCAAATGTTGTCAATTTGGGGATTTTTGTTACACATGTGATACAGTCTCCCCCTCCATTTTATCTGAATATCATCAAAGGGAGTGCTGCTCAAGGCCTGAAACCGATGAATCCGACACACATGCTTCATCCACAGAAGAATGTTCATCATCCAGGACATGTTGGGGTAGTTAATGAGCCTAATAATCCTGGTGATAAATGATCTCATAGCAATGGTATTACAATGTTAAAGCCCATTTGAAGTGCAACTCTGATAATAAACTTGCATTAGTGTGCAACGCTGGTAATAAACTGCATATATCTGACAAACTCTTTTCTATTACTTTGAATCAATTCTCTTAATTGACACAGAGCAATAACTGAAATAAAAGAAGATTACTTGTAGAAAGGATAAGAAAAAAAAAATTGTTTCTGTATAATCACATCCATCAATTAGCACTTTGAAAATATCATGTTACAACAGTACAATCTAGGCAGGATTCTCTCCGAATAATGGACCTTTTAGTTACTAGCTAAGAGAGAGGAAAAATTAAAAAAAATATACATGTATATATATAAAAAAAATATTGTATTGTCAAACCCTCCACCCCTCACCTCTTCTCTTATTCACCAGTAACTAGACGGTCCACTTTCTGGAGAGGATCCGAATCCAATACAGTAAGCCTATAACCTATTGATTTATTTGTTGTATAAATCGTGTGAAAACCTATAAACGGGAAGATTCTCTACAAACTCCTGTTATGTCATAATACTATGATTCTATCAGAAAACTACTGATCAGTTCTTCTATTCGGCATTGAGGAACACCGTTGAACGTCAATTTGCTGAGAACTTGGTATTCTTGCCGATATAGAGGCAGATGGTCTGAGGAGAGGAGTACCAACACGACTGGAACTTTCGTTGGCAACTGGTGGACTTGCATCTGTTGTAGAAGGTGATTGTAGCTCAATTTCAGATTGTGCAGCAGCCCCAGAAACACGGATATCAAGCATGTGACTGTCATCTTCATCTAATGAAATTACCGTGCTTGCATCTGTATGTACGGTTGAATCATCACCATACATACCGAGCCTCTTCTTTCTCTTGGCCGCAGACTTCTTCCAACCATGAAGAGTCTCCCTAATTCTATGAGGAATTAATGCTGCCTTGTAATTTGTTCCCATCTAAAGACAAGCCAAAATGAAGCACAAAGTAAAGAAAAATAGTAGAGGATAATGGAAACATGCGAACCTAAAGTATATGATACATGTTGCTGGGGTAAGGGGAGTAGCCAAAGTCAAGTCACCATGAGGAAGTATATTTTAGTTATAGTTTTAAAGGAAAGATACCTCAAAAAACATAAGGAAGATGGGTAAACAGAGAGCTACATATGAGAAAACTAATCACACAGTAGTAGCTGATTTCCATATTTATCAGCAATGTTGTTAAAAATATTCAATCACTACTTCCATAAGAACCAAAAATTTTAAGGGTCCCGCAAGACTCAACATCAGAGCAATATTCAATATTGCATTTGATATGTTGATAGGTTATAATAATAAAAGTCATAAGCATAAATATAACATTCAAGTATCAAAGAAAATCTCTCTATCTCAGTCTCTCCTTTTCTTGTTGATTAGTTACATCACAGTTGAAGAATTACCAACAAAAAATAAACAATAAAAAAAAAATTAAAAATTAAAGAAAAAAAAGACAATATTAACCTGAGTAACCAGTGCATAGAGTGGCAAAGTGCTGTAGCTACAGAGGAACTGCCCAGAGAACCTGTAATAAGATAGCAATGCAACACCAATTTATTCTCTAATAGCTAATATGTGTCATCACAGCTAAGGTAAATAGCTAAACATACCCCAGTAAAAGCCGCAAATAGACCAGAAGATGGTTACTTATAAAGCAAGAATCATATCCAAACTGCCACTGTAAAATGGATAATCATATCATCAGAGAAATGGATAATCATATCATCAGAGAAATGGATAATCATATCATCAGTGAAATACCATAAGAAAATTAACAAAAAAACTTATGCTTCTCCTTTAAGCCCAAAACCAAATAAAATAAACAGTGAAACATCTGCGTAGTATTTCATATAGATATCCTAAAATCACATTCACATTGGGATGCAATTTGAGGAAGGAGAAAAAATTACTTTCAAAAGAAATGTCTTTCATTCTCTATCATCATAAGGCAACAATCTTTGACAACACTATAAAATAAACATAAGTTGAGAAAAGGAAGTACCCAAAACCAGAAAAAAGAAGCAAGCTCAAAGGAATTCTGCAAAATGCACAATGAAGAAATAATAAGAGGCTACACAACAGAGTGTATAACTAACTCAAACAAAATAAACAGAAGGTAACTGGCATATAAGTTTTCCTACCTGGAAAAGTATAAAGTGAATCAAGGATAGCAACAATTCTGGCTTCTTAAACCAGAAGAGATCATCACGAGGCTTTAACTTTGTTCCTGTAAAGAACCCCGATAGTCCAGCACTCTCTAGTGTTAAGGTTGCTATAACATGTTGAAGCTTAGTACCCACCAAAAGGACGAGCTGCATTTTCAACGCAAATACCAAGTTATCCATGAAAAATAAGCAAAGCAATCAATAAAGGATACCAGAATAGGAGGTCTTTTGCCTTTTCCCTTGACAACAATTTAAATAATTTTATTCAATGTTGCCACATATTAGTTTTAGTCACTCCATCAGTGTATGCAAATCATCCATAAGGTTGCATACATTTGGACCTCCCTATACCCTGCTTTGGGTAAGATCTATTCTTCTTTTTGTGGTTGCCACTTGCCACAAGGTGAAAAAAAAAAAGGAAAGGAAAAAAAATAAGCAAATATAGTAAACATGAGATGCACTTCATTTTTGGGGGCTGGAAGGGAGTGAGAAACAAAAAGTCAAGACTCTATTCAATAGTCAGAAGTATGTCCAGATCATGAAAACAGATCTGATATATGCCACGGCAACTTTCAAGGTATTGATGCAGGAGCATCCATTACATCTACAGCTCTACAATTAAATAATGCATTGAAAGCAAAAACCTAAACATACAAATGAAATCAGACTTACTGCTATAGGTAATATGGCTATCCAAAAGTATAGGTTTGATCCTGGGAATAACAAGGAAAACCAATTAGTATAGTTCCTCAAACGACGTCAACCCCATCTAAAAGGAAGGCACTCGTGCTATAATTCTATGGCACAAAGGTGCTGCAATTTAGTTCAACAAGGTAAAAGAAATATTGGTTTATCTAATTATACACAGGCGTAATCAGTAAAATAATAGAGTATACCAATGCTTGAAGATCTTTTAAACAAGGAGTTAAAACGTTTACAATCTACAACAATTATTCCCCAATGGTACACATTAAAGAACATTCACCTTAAATGCATTAAACATCCTCACCTCTTATGTTAAACAGCATAAAAGCAACTACAAATCCCCAAAGTGGACCACTGCAAAAGATAGAGCAGTGCTTCAGAATATTGAGGATAAATTATTGTCTAATAAAATTGTGATTAAAAAATATTAAGATAAAGGCAACAGAAAATGCAAAATGGCATTACTTCACAAGTTGAGTTGATGAAACTCTCCTTATATTGTCTACGCAATTCCATATAAGTTTCATATACATATCCAAAGAATTGAAATAAAATTAAAAACTAAAAAAAAATAAAAAATAAAAATAAAAAAGCAGGAAATACGATGTACGACGGTTGAACATCTTCTAGCTCACCTCACACCAACAATTCTTTGAAACTCTTCTTCCATAGATTGAACCATATAGCTGTGAAAATCATATCTTCTACTAAGTTTATGGTTCTGTCAAGCATAAAAACGAGGTTAAAATATTTGAAAAGAAGTTAAATATTTGAAAACTAGATCACAAGAAGAAAATTTCGACATTGAAATTAGCTATTGCTTTGGCAGGAAAACCTGTCCTAATAACAACAAAAGCACCAATAAATTTCATCGAAGCTCGAGAAGTGCTGGGCATGCACATTAAATTTTCATTGGTGGGCCCAAAAGAAATGCATAGCAGGATTAGTTATTGATGACAAGAGAGAGCATAACAAAAAAAAATTTGAATTTACGGCAAGTGTACTTTAAAACAAGCCATAAATTGCACCATCTTTAGCTCTCAACCATACAACAATCCATCTTTAATTGTCTAATTGGCTCCAAGCAGATTTCTAATAGCATGCCATTTCAGTAAAATAATAGAAAGACACAAATTTTCAAAATAGTTATTCAAGTACCATAATGAATCCCTTGCGTAGAGTAAGATAATCAGCACGAACCACTGAATGTCCAAATTGCCTGAAGAAACATGTCTGACATACAATTAAGAAGTCAGTTTAGAAGATTTGATACAACCAATAATTGAGTCTAACATTAACAGTCTAAAGTTTAACTAAACCTTCTCCAAGAAAATTCATCCAAGGAGTTTCAAATTAACAAATTCTTGCTTGCTGAAGAACATAAAATCAGCAGACATGTTGATGCAATATCCACCCACCCCTTTAAAAAAATAAAAGTAAAAAAGCTATATTTTGTATAAAATAAGATAAAGTAAAAACACAAATAATAAATCATCAAATTAGAATAAAGTATGTCGGGAAAATAAAGCATTATCTAAGCCTCTACCAGCATTTTTAATCTTATGGCAACAAAATAAAAATAAAGAAAAACTGGCCTAAAATAATGACTAATAATGTGCTTTTTATATGATAAACGACATGTATGTTTAGATACCTGTATATAAGTTGACATATGGAAACAAATGTATGAACATATTGTTAACTTAGCTCCTCAAGCCTACATCTAACTAGTTATTAAAATGTTTTACTTGCAACTTTATAGGAATGAATGACTTATTTAAATTTAATTGAATGGACAACTAACAAAAGAAATTGTGAATTCTGCCCATAAGTCATTCCAAACAGCTGATACTGATTAACTTTCAATCTTGAGATTCAAGGACGTAAGATTAAAATTCTGATTTTAATTTTCTTAATTTTTCTTTTTCCCCTCAAATACATTAAAGCTATACAATGTATTTAATTTGATTAAATAATTTTTGTTTGTTGCTGTTCAAATGATGATGGATGATAAACTAATAATTAATTCAGTCAAAAGCTAATAAATATGATTAAGTTCAATAAAGGTCTAATCAAGTAATAAGTTAAGATAAGTTGAAAGACACCCTTACTATGTCCAAACAATAAGCTTGAATTAAATTCAATGCACAGACCCATGTATTCAAATGGTGGCAGCAATTTAACTAATTGGGCCACATCTTATTCTCTTAACAATGACCCCACTGTTTTAACATAGAGCATATATATCTCGACACTGCAAGCAAATTGGCCCATCTCCAGTAGAAAAGAAGCACATCATTACAGACAAATTCCAAAGTGATGAACTGAGACTTGCAATTTACATCACTTCAAATATCTCAAGTCCTCCATACTATACTTTACCCTATGACAACAGTAACTGGGACATAATTAATAGCACACTGTACACATTTATACAGTTACTGACTCTAGATACACTTCTCAATGTAATTGGAAAAGGTTGAAAAGCTCATATAGAATTCCATGCTTTAATTCTTTGTATTCAAGAGTATTTTCACAATCACAAGTTACCCTCTATCCTAGTAGACTACTTTTCAGACATTAAAATATGTGGTGCTGATATTTATTGATTTATAACCCAATTTTGGACTAATTAGTATCCCTATAATGCTCATACATCCAAAAAAAATCAACCTGTCACTTTCTAAGATCAGAAAATGAAATCTAATATAATTGGGTAGACTGGTAAAATTGACTGAGCTTCAGGGAACCTAGAACATATGATGCCAAATGTAAGCTTATACCACTGTGAAAATACACCAAAGCCAAGCGAGGCCTATTGAAAACTTTCCCAATAGGGACTAAGTGGAGAATATGGTGGTCGTGACTATAATGAATCCATGTTTCTATTTACATACACACAACTAAGCGAAGGCATAAGACTTTTCCTTTTCTTTTCTTGTTATGAAAGCCTTGAGACTGTTGAGACCTCACTGAGTACAAGAACTATCAAGTTGAGAAAGTTAAGAAACAACACCAAACATTATGTACAGGACAAAGTGTATCTTGCTGAGAGCAATGTCAAGATGTACGAAGCCTTACATATTAATTTATCCACAAAGAAGACATTTCAGATTGAAATCTACATAAAAGAGTGAAGTAGTCACATAAACAGAAAAACAAGCACAACATTCATGCTTACCACCCAAATCCAGAAATTGCTCTTGGTCAAAATATTTGACGCTTGAAATTTGACAAAGCTTGATTGCCTTCGCATAACCAACTCCCTGGTGATCTCTGTTGAAAAATAAGCTGACTGTTATGTGATTATGTCATCATTTCAGCAAGCTATGCCATACCAATATCAGTACATATATATAATCTTATGTTTGTGTTTCAGCATTTGGGAATTCAATATCAAAAACTTTTGTATACATCCGATGTACAGTAATATTGAGCCAACTTTTATTGAATTTAGGATAACTTTTAGACTTTTTTGGGTAACTTTTACTTTCATTCATTACACGGTAACTTTTGATCATTTAAAGTAACTTTATAGCATACGTACAATATTTTATTGTCCGATTTTTTTAAATGTTTGTCCTTATAGACCATATCAGCTCCAGTGCATCCAATTTTTACTATGTACCAATTATTAAGAAAGCTAAAGAAGTAGATTTTTAGTCAGCACATAGAGATATACTAGTGCAAATGGAAAAGGTGCATAGCTCACAACCTTATCATGAATCAACTCTGCCAGTACTGCAATAAGATATATTTTCTTTGTTTTTTAATCATTGTAACAATTAAATTTTTACACTATTCACACTGCCATGTGATGATCTATTGCTATTTTTATGTAAGGAAAAATACAGTCAAGTGAGGTGAATCGTCTCGAAGTATACTTTCATAATATCAAAGCAATAGAAATATTTTCTTTGTTCTTTAATCATTGAAACAATCAAATTTTTACACTATCCACACAATACCAAGAGATGATCTATTTTGATTTTTACATAAGGGAAAATATAAACTGGTGTGGTAAATTCATCTCGAAGTATACTTTCATCTATCAAAATTCTAAAATTGTTACTTTAAAATAAATTGAAGATATAAATGATTATATTAGGGCGCACTAGAATGCGTGAAATCCCAATAGTGGAAATAATTAAAGAGGAGGTATGATTCAGTTTCAATGTGTCTTTTTTGGTATTTTGAGAGTAGGAAAGCCTAAGACACAGAAAAGAAACTTGTTCCAGGAGGACTGTAAAAAAAAAAAAAAAAAAAAAAAACTTTCAGCACTACAGATGGTGACAAATGATTACAACTAGGAGGAATTTCCTATTACCTAGGTATATATATCAATTTCACTACAGTTGATACATATGCCTCTTCTCTTCTGGCGTCTTAGAAAGCCTACGAAGGAAATCTGTACACTGAATGGCCTTACAGCTTAATCAGTCGCAACGAGGCCCAGATCTATCAAAAATTTGATCTTGCTAAAGATAGGATACACCCATAGATTGATGTTGCAAGGAACAAGCTACAATGGGAAAAAATGCTATTCAGCTATTACAAGATTCTATCAGGGATCTATTCACTGACGAAAAAGGCTCATGTAGCTTTCACATCTATTCATTTTTAAATGTCCAATATCATCTCCTACAACTCCGTACTTATTCCTTTTCATTTACAGAGAATTATGACAAATAAAGAAACAGGTTTTGGAATGGCAAGCTGCCTGCATATTTGCAACCTATACATCTATATTCCTCCCATAGAACTTTTTACGCTAAATGCTACTCTTATCGTGAGGAATTTAAGTGAGTCGTCTATTGGGGGGTATCAGATGGGTATACATTTAAAAGTATTAGTTTGACCTCAATAGGATCTGGGATGGCTTAACCATTTGACAATAGGGTACGAATATCACCAAAGCTAATTTCTGACACGTCCATCACGCTGCCTACATATACTAACATAAGTTTACATTTAATTAAACTTCCATCAGAGAGTAATTATTGCAGCTGAAACTAGACAACTTGCCTGTGAGTGCATCATGCCGATCCAACTGAGCTTGGTCCTCCCATTTTCTCCAACTATGTATCTGGTAATAAACATTCAGCAAGAAAAGAAGGGGAGGAGTCAATATTAGAGGAGGCTAGCTTTAGCTAACTTGTGTCTTAGCTTAAAGATATGTAAATCAAGTGATTGGTTCCCACTAAAAAGCAAGTAAATTGACAGTTAACAGATTAGACATATGTCTCAGCACTCAGCAGAACAGAGTCTGTTATACATGCAATAATCCTCTGGGAAGAGCTGGATAAGGCAACCTCGCCTTTAATCCTAGAAAATTATAAAGTGACCCAATTCCAAATGCCTTAACTACACTAAATTACAGTAGGATGAGAATGAAAAAGTTACCAAGCACTTCCCGGGAAACAATCCTTATTTTGAAAGGGCAAACTAAAATGACTGACATTGATAATCATAATGTCTATTAGGTGCATATACTCTGTTTAGTTCCAAACTAAGATGAGCTGTAAGCAAGCCACAATGACTCTAACCTTCACAATTGCAAGCAGCATTGTTAAACAGCTATAAGATACATGTGTCACTGCCATGATGAAGATAAATCGGTGCAACTGCTCGAGGCCTTCATATGATACAAATGGTTCTTTACCCTATACGCAAAATAAGCAGATAAATTTCAAAACCCAATTATTCAAACTGGAAACAGTGAAGTCAATGACTCAAAAGCCATAAGGAGCATCATTTATGAAAGATGCTCTAGTGAACTGACAACTCTATTAACTTTTAAAATAAAAATAAACATAAGAATTAAGAAAACACATGCCTCAGGACATTTATTTTGATGAAGGACACTCATCAATCTCCTGAAATTTTGAGGAGATGATGTCCAAAGTTTACGTCCTTCGGATAAATCCTCTTCAGAAGCTTCATGGACTTCAGATTCTGAGCACGGGGAAAATACACCACCAAAAAACTTTGAAGATATACAAAAGCTGGATATAGTGCTTGAAGTTGCTGTTAGAAGAAGAGATATAAAGCCAAGGAGCATCAACTCTGCATACACAGATAAAATTAATAAGTTTTGAGATAAGCCCAAAGCTATACAAAGAGCATCTAAAGTTCTGTAGCATTGCCTTTCAGACATTCATCACCCAAATATTAACTCTTCAATAAAGCACCAACATTCATTAGTATAAGTACCTTCTTTCATTTTCTCCACAGTTTGAAGCAACGGCTTTCGACGCGTTTTATCAAGCCACTGTAATATAAGAACATTAAAAGGTGAAAATTGCAGCGGTTAGTTACAAAAGATTATGAAAACATCCTCTTTTTGTTGATACAAATTGGATATTCCTTCAAAAAAGTGATTTTTAACTACTAAACAAATAGATTCTCAGGTCAGCAAACATGTAATCAGTTGACAGCAAAAACAACTCAAGACTAGTTGCAATTACAAATAACCAGATTCAAACCAACTTGTTTTTGGTACCAACACTTCAACATAAACAGGAAATTAATAACAGAAGTTGCCCAAAAATCTAAAAATTCAATAAAATTAGACAATTGAATGAAAACTCACATTACTCAACCAGTGAATTGATCTTTCAACCAGCAAAGAAATTGCAACAAAGAATGTCAAAACAGATGCAACAGACCATGTTGGAGTTAAAGCCAAAGAGCGCATTTCTTCATTCTTATCCTCCATTTCTAAGACCTTACAATCCTACAAAAATGGCGGTTATTTCGAGTTCTCGAAACAGTTTCAGACCAATATCACCATAACAGTACCAATATAGCTAGGTAACATGTTATTTTCCAAGACCCATGACACAAAACATTAGGACCCTTCCACTTAAAACAAATGTCACCTTTTCTTCCTTCTTAGTAGACATATAATTTCACACAACTATTCATTCATGAAATGGACAGCTTTGTGGTGCAAATTAAAAATTACCCAAAAAATGTGGGAAATTTTTAGTTCTCTATCAACCAAAACAAAAGCCCTTGAAAACCCAGAAAACTTCACAGAAAATTGAAATTTTTTTAGCTTAAATTCCACCACAAAGAAAATTCCTAGAAAACCCAGAAAATTTATAAATTACCCAGAAAAATTAACCCAGAAATCTATCAAACCCACTTCCTATTTTCCTTTGCCTTCTCCTTCAATGCAGCAAAAAACTACCAAAAATGTGGCAGAAACTTCAATCAAAACCCCAATAAATGAATTACAATATCAATGTTCTTGAACAATGAATCACTTAATTCATAGGACAATGTGATTAAAATACAAGAAAATAAAGACTAAAATAAACCCAGAAAATGTGAAAGAGTTTAGATTCAGTTGATAGAAGATGCAGAGAATTTAATAAAATTTTGTGTGTTCTCTCTCTTCTCGTTGGGATCAACAGGAAACTACCCAACCATATGGATCTCCCGACAGGTTATAGAAAGATCCTTTGATTTGTGCAGAATACTTACAATTAGATTAATTTAATTGAAAAAAATGGATCAAATTGTTGGTTAATAATTAATGAATGATGAATGAATGAATGGCCCGTTGATCTCTGTGCAATTAGTTAGGATATTAGAGGAGTGATGCTGTCAATGACGGATTTCCAGAACGTTGTCACATGCAAACGGGTTAAATTTGCCACATACTTACATATCCGTAGTAGACTAGTAGTATATCATGGTTTAAATTCTTTAAAGAATACGGATTACTCCCATTTAGACCTGGTTATTGGTGCGGGTCGATTGCGGGTCAGGGTCAAAGAGGGTCACATTTTAAAGGGTCAATATGGGGTCGGGCCAATGTGGATTGGGCTCGATAATGGACAGGTCTACAAAATATCAATTAAAATAAATATTGGACAAAGCCATTATTAAATACATATGAATACATATTAATCTATATATTTACATTATGTATTTTCTTTATCAACTAAATTGGAAAAACATGTTGGCCCTATATTAACCCTACCAAATAAGGGCCCTGTCCATTAATAGCTTTGTCCATTAAAAGCCCTATAAGCTTGGCCCTGACCCTATTATCATTGGGCTACCCTATCCAATAACCACCTCTACTCCCATTCGTGGAATTTGTTATACTCCCTCCGTTTTTAAATACTTGCTCTATTTTTCCATGCACGGAGTTTTTGGAGAAATTGGAGAAATAGAATAGGAAGATAGTGGGGTTGGTGGAAGAATTAAAAAATGTAAAAGGCAAAAGTAGTGGAAAGAATTGGAGGAGAGTAAATACATGTTGGATCCAATATGTGAGAGAAATTAATTAAATACTATAAGAGTTTTCTAAAAAAGGAAATGGAGAAAGTATTTAAAAACGGCCGCAAATGGAAAGTGTAGTAAGTATTTAAAAATGGAGGGAGTATATACTAAGGTGCACCGTACACCAAGTATTTTGTTCTTATTTTGATGATTATTTTTCATTTAATCATCAAATGAACAGTAAACTAATTTTGAATTAGTTGGGTACTTGGGTGTATGTTACACCCGGGAATATATAATAATCTCTCCTCCATTCGTGTATGTATTCTGTAGATACTTGTTTGGATTGTTAATGTATTCATTTCATTATTTTATCATAGTGATCATACACCTGCCCGATCAAAATGAAAAACATATATTAGATCAATTTACTTCTTGATTTAAGGAATTGATTTGTTATTTATTATTCCTTGAATCAAGGATTGATTTGTTATTTATATTCCTTGATTTATGGAATTGATTTACTATTTACATTCAATATTCATCAACTTTTATAGTGGCTAGCCACCATACGAGTAACCCTTGACTGACTAAATAACTCCTGACCAAATAATCCCTAACCAAGTAACCTTGATTGACTGAGTAACTCCTGACCGAGTAAGTAACCCCTGAGATCCAAACCTCATCTTACACTAGTATTACTCCATTCGTGATACGTATTAACATCAATTAACTTATTTAAAATATATTCCCTCCATTTTTAAATACTTGCTCCATTTCTCCAAGCACAGAGTGTTAGGAGAAATTAGAAAAAATAATAAAATATGGAAGTAGTGTGGTTGGTTAAAGAATAACAAAATGTAAAAAAATCAAAAGTAGTGAAGAGAATTGAAAGAGAGAATATGAAATTAATATTATTGGGTCCAGTTGGTGAGAGAAATTAATTAAATATTATAAAAGCTTTCTAAATAAGAAAATGGAGCAAATATTTAAAAACGGCCGGAAAAGAAAAGTGGAGCAAGTATTTAAAAACGGAGGGAATATATCTTTAACTTTCTAATTTTTTATAAATTTAACTTTTTATAATTTTGATTTATTTAACTAGCAAAGCTTGGCAGAGTTGGTGAGGAACTCACCTTGTGACTTTAAGGTCACATTTTTGAGTCTCAGTATCTACAAAATGCTTGGGTGAAGGGGGATTCCCTAAACTCTACCCTCAACTCTCAAGCGTTGGATGGTTAAACTTAATTGGGAGTTTGTTAGAGGTGATCAACATCGACACGAAAATAGGGCGGGTTTTACAGGTTTGAACACGATATATTGTGTTAAGGTCCAACCTGAATTTTTTATCACCTATAGTTGATTCACAATGTCAAAATTTTATAAACCCTATGGAGTACATATTTATGCACCATTTTGACCTTTAATAAAAAAAAAAAACTAGATGAAAGATCATGCGGTACACGGATTTTCAATACATAAATAAAAAAAAATATTCAGTATATCCTTAATTAGACTATTAATAAAAACATTTAATATCCTATCACAAATTAATTAATAAATAATTTTTTAGATTTATCTTATCCAATATTATTTTTTTTTGGATTTGTTATACTGGTAATAATGATTTAATAAATTTATCTTTTCTAATATTTTTTTCTCTATTATTTTCCCATTAATTTATAAATAATTTAATTTGTGCTTTTTAATATATGTGGCATTATAATTTTAAAATAAAATAAATATCTCATTCATGTTAGAATAAGCCTTTTTGTATACATTTAATTTTAATAAAAATTACGAAATAAGAGTGTTGATAAATTTTTATAAATGGATATGATAACCTTTGAAATATAATAATTAATCTTTTTAGTAGAATAAATAATAAATGAAAGATTTTTTTTGTTAGAGATAATAAGAAACAATTTTTTTTTTAATTTTAAAGATTTTTATATTATTATTTTTTATCTAATTCTAAATTGAACCATCTTTAAATTTTAATTATTGTACTTTTTTTTATTAGGTTTTTTAATTTTCATACTTCATTATTATTCTATTTTTATTTTGAACATGGTTTTTTTTCGAAAACATGGCTTAATTGAATGTGTTTGGGGTATTTATACCCTAGACACGTGGACCAATGAGAGGACGCCACATGTCGAGTTCAGGATGGCCCATGTGGCTCAACATCCTCTTGACACTTGGTGCCCCCAGATATGCCTCTGAAATGGCGGCCTTCAAGGGCCTAAATCCCTAGGAGCGCCGTAAAACGGCGCAACCCACTAAAATCTAAGTCAAGTGACCTAGATAGGAGCACGTTCTCCAATGACCCTATAAATAGGGAGATATTCCCCATTTTGGGGACACATTCAATCATTTATTACACATGTATTCTCTTACATCAGAGAAAGACTTGAGCTTGGAATCCGAGCAGATACCCACCTAAATTTCCGTTTTCTTTATTCCGTTTCAAGTTACTAACTTGACCGTTGGAGGCGGAGCTCCAACCACCCGGAGTCTCCGTTATTTTGCAGGTACAGCTCAGCTGGATCAGAATTCGTGACGTAAATCTCCCGAGGGACAAAAAACACCCAAAACATTTGGCGCCGTCTGTGGGGAGAGTACCTCGAAGATGGTTCAAGAGTCTGTGCCACCTCCTAACCGTCTGGGCGATGACCTAGAAGTCTTTACAGACCATGAGGATGAAGATCCTCTTGTCGAAACCTTTACAGCCGATGACGGCTCTCTCATAACCAAGCGCATCCGACCCAGAGACACTCTGGAGCGGGGTGCCTCCCAGGCGTGTAAAAGCCGACCCTCTGGGCAGTCGGAAGGGGAAACCCAAACGGCCGCTGGATCAACACCTATTACCCAAGACGAACTCATGAGATTCATGACAAGTTTCAAGGGTGAAATTAAAGAGCTGATCACCCAAAGCCGGGCTGGCCCAAGTAAAGGTCAGTCGGCGAAGAAGAATGCTCCAGAGAAGGGGAAGTCAGTCAGAGATCGGCAGCCCACTCCTCATCCAAAGGAGAAGGCAGCTGGGACCATTGATTGGTAAAAAATTATCCTTCCTAAGAGGAACAACAACAACACCCACCGGACTCAGCAGCCGGTGGGAAGCAAAAAATCAATTCTCGATGCCCGGGAAATCATCAACCGGAAGAGAAACCAATCGCTGTCTGAGTCGGCTTCAACGTCGAAATTTCCAGACAGTTTCAATAACATTTCTGCAGGGAGTGTGCCCTCCTTGCATGAGAGCCAGACAGGCGGTAATACCGTCCATTCTGGCCCTCATATGATTGGAGCTGTACCGTACGTGCCTACCTAGGCTTACGGACAGTATCCTCCTCACTTTATGCAGTCGGCTCTCTTTGGAGGTCAGGCGGCATATCCAAATGTCCAGCCATTGGACTGTGATATGTCTATTTTATATAGTATTTTACCCCCATCCCTTGGTCATAATTAGTAGTGTTTTTAGCCCTTTAGGGCCACTTTTATTACAAATATGTGTTTTCTAGTGTTTTCGTAGTTTTGGTTAAGTTTTGCAGGAAATTGCACCTTTGGAGCATTTTCCCGGGATTTTTATGAAGCGACTACGAGCATTGGAGGAACACGACCATTTTTAGAGCCCAAGGTCGGCTAGAGCCATCGAGCTGGTGATTAAGGGCTCGGTTATTTGGATCACGAGGTAATTGGACCACATATTCGAGACCTGAGAGGAAATATGTATTGGGCCGAGAAATCTAGCCCAAATCGAAGTCCAAACCATGAAGATGAAGCCGGGCCCAATCGGGCAAGCATACGCTCGATCGGGCGAGCTGCGCGCATGCCAGCTATCAAGATGAAGGCGCGCCCGATCGGGTGAGCGTAGGCTCGATCGGGCGCAGCACTGAAGGATGGGCATAGGAAAAAAGGCGGGCCCGATCGGGCGCCCCCTTCGCCCGATCGGGCGCGTGTTTTGTTAGAACCTGATTAAGCTTTGTTTAATTCGTGTTTTAGGAGAGATATATATTCGTTTTGTACGGTTAATTAATGACCTTCTTTTCTCTTAGACTTTCTCTCTTTACTTAGTATTTTTCTCTCTCTAGAATTCTCTCTAAACTCTTGTTCTTAATTCCTTCATTAATTCCATATTTGTTTTGGTACAATTTCTTCCCTCTTTAATTTCAGCTATTTTAATTATTTTCTTGTTTATGTTTTTAATTGTTTATTTGATTGGATTAGTTATGATGATTAGTGAGTAGTTTAATTCTAGGGTTTATGGGGATCCATAATTAATATGAAGGGATAGTTTGTTATTATTGATTGTTGATATTGCATGATAATTTCCTATTGAATTGTTTTAATTCTTTGCAATTAGATTATGAAT